ATATATATATATATATCATACACATATATATAAAATCAGCCTCTGTGTGTGTGTGTTTCCGGTTTCTACAAAAATCTTACTAGAGTGAAGATGTTAGCATGTACAAAAGAAAGGTGGATTAAGGCTTCCTTGTCAGAGTTTCTAGAACCATCCAAATGAGCAATAAAAATTAGGCCCTCCACAGCAGTTAGAAATGGCTACCTAAATCATGTGCTCATACCTCCCTGTTCTTTTGAGAACATCAGCATCAATGAGTTTATATGAGGGAAGACTCCCATGAGTGAGGAGGTCCAGAGAGAACACTCATGGTCAAGAGCTGTGGACAGCATTTGAGGGTATGAATCTCCCCAGCTACCTCCCAAGTCCACCACCAGCAAGACTTCCCAAGAGCAGGAGCAGTCCAAACAGAAGGCCCCTGTGGAAACTTTAATATACTCTTGCTCAAGTTAAAAAATGCAGTGTCTAACCTTATCACATCTAATGGAAGAAACTGCCACTCTGGGGCAAAGTGGATTTACTTTAGGAGTGTACAAAGAAGCAACAGTTTCTTTGAGTTTCATTCTGGAACAATTTTACTGATGCTAGATAATACAGGGTTCTTTGGTTTATGGGGAAATGAAGCTGTTTACATTACAGGGCTTCCCTCAGCATAGACCAGAGCTCCAAGGAGATGCATGAAATGAGGCATGAAGGACTGTTCTGTCTCGGACAGCTAGCTCCTTCAAAGGATATTCACGAGTCATTTTCTCTTCCTGCCCATTTCTACTAGTTGGTATCAAGCATAAAAATAAAACAGGGGGAGAGATGCGTTAGAGAAACGGTTCAGTTGGCAAAATGCCTGCAGCACAAGCACGAGGCCTGAGTTTGGATCCTTAGCACTCACATCAAAGCTAGACCTAAAGTCCCACTATAGGTAAAATCTACAGCTTTGCTGGTCAGCCAGAGCCACACCCCTGTAAAGGAACTGCTCAGCTGCTGTCTCAAAAAAAAAAAAAAGTCAGGTGGGAGTGTTAGAGGAAGACCTTTGATGACAGTCTCAAGCCTCCATGCGCATGTGCGTGCACTCAGAAGCGGACATCACTCACCAAATAAATAAATAATGATGAAAGAAGATAATTAAGTAAAAATGGGTGTCAGAAAAAAGCGGGCAAGCCTGGTCTTCGTGAGGTGGGTGGTCTCTTCCAGCCTGGAAAAGCTTAGGTCGGAAACATGGCTTCAAGGCAGTCCTACCTGGCCTAATTTAGATATCTGGTTTACTCCATATACCAAACACCTGGTTAGATATAGAGGACTAAAAAGAAACCTGGAAACCTGGGTTCAATCCTCTTAAGATGCTAGAGCAAGTGAGGGAACTCACCGGCTCTACAAAGCAGGTAGAAAAAAAGAAAAAAAAACTGATGTAAGTAGGGAATGAATTCAAAAGGTAAAAAAAGAAAACCATTTATTTCTTTCCCTATTAGGAGGCCAACAAAGCGCAGGTGCTCCTTTATTCTGTACCTCGTCTGTCCCAAGAAGAGACACTTCAGAGCTATGACAGCTACATGTGTGGCATGACAAAAAGACCCAGAAAAATTAAAGTGGAAATACAGTGAGTGCCGCAGACAATGTTAGCCTGAGTGGATGAGCCAATGGCAGGCAGAGGAACAAGACAATCACCTTGACTCCTTTCTCAGCTCCTCCCAGCTTCGGGGTGTAGAAGGAATCGCCCTCCTGTGTGCTGCTCTTGTTCTTGCTGTCTCAAATCCATTGCACAGCTGACCAAAAGCAGAGAGCACAGAGCATCTGCAGGGAGCCTGGATGGTTACCCAAGTCTAACCATGACTTCATCACACAAAACTCTCTCTGCACAAACACAAGCTCAAGACCTAAGAGACAGCAAGGCACACAAGAAAGAACCCAAGCAGACTTTCAGGGCTGCCTTCAGTGTGAGACAAACTCCTTTAACACCTATTGACAGGACATCAGAGGGTTTACCTCATGTTCGTTGAGGGATATGGTAGACCTTTTATCAAACTTCTCTGAATAGCTTTAGACTTTTTCCAAGGGTGAAGAAGAAAGCCCAGCCATTATGGTACCAACATTCTTTTTCTGGACTGACTCCTGCAGACCCTTGCTTCCTTTCTCCCTTTCTGACCCTTTAGTAAGCCAAGGACATCATCGCCAGAGACACTGGGAACAATGGTACCTTGGTCAACCTGCAACTATGCCTCTCTTGTGGCATTTCTACACTAGATGCATCTGTTCAGGGGGTCTTTGTCAAGCCCACTCTGGGTACAGTGACAGGATCATAGAGTCCTCACATCCCAC